CATTCATTCAAACACACCAACAACATATTTCTCTCTTCTCTTCTCTTCTCTCATTCCGGAAAGCCTTTATGCAACCTTCCTTAGCTTAGTTCCATCCCCAACCTTGTCTCTAGAGCTCCGAAGATTTGAGATGTCACTCTCATCGGTGAAAAAAATTGTTTCTTTTTTCGATTCCAACACTGGCCACCGAAGCTACTACTGAGGCGTATCTTATTTTGGAGAGACGAATCATCCTCGACTCGATTTTACGGTTAGGTTATTTTATTCATGCAATATTACTTTAAACTAACATGTTGTCTCTCCCGTTGTCTCCGTTCAAAGCTCTGAAAATCAATTAATCATTTCTTCTCATATCTGACCAATTAATCAAAGAATTATGAATCTCCACGGAACGGAGTATGAAAAATATTCTCATTTTTGCTCGCTTCGGCAGAACTGTGAGAGAATCTACTACAACTGCCATTGACAGTAGGGAAAACGGTTTCTTCCTTGGCATCGATCGCAACATCATTTACAGTAACATTTTCAACTTCCAATCTTCTCAAGACAAACCCGAAAAGAGAAACGACTACCTCTGGTTCGCAGTTGTGGTGGAAACCACCCGCCATAAAATTATAGGCCCAGAACCACCTTGGCTCAGCCCTACCTTAAGACCCGCTCGTCTTGAACCCAGCAGGACCAACCGAAAATCTCCTCATTTTGTAAAATATATTTTTATATTAATTTTTTTATTTATAGGTTATATCATAAAGATAATTAGGAATTTAATTTTTAAACTTAAAAATTTTAATAATATAAATAAAAATAAATTAGATAATATAAAAATAAAAAATGATGATAAAAAAATCAAAAATAAAAATGATAAGAATGATAAAAGTGTTATACACGTAGCACATACTAATGTGCTACGTAGACAATATGTAGGCTTTTATTCCCTCGAGTCAGGGTTTTCACATGTATAAATAGAGGCTGAATAAAATGAAATAGAGATACTTCTCATTCTCTCCACTTCTCTCTCGTCAACTTCAATAATGTCATACATACATATATATACATACATACATTATCTAATATATATTATATTTACATACTGCATACACACAACACATATATTAATTACTACTCACACATTATATATATATTATATATTATATATCATATATTATAATATTATATATAATATCTGTTGATGCGATTTTTCAACAATAAAAAGTAAAATTCAAAAATAGGAAATTATCTTCGAATTTGATGTAATTAGTGCCTGAGATTAGAAATCTCTAAACACTGTAGGATACATAAATAAAATAGGAAAATAAAACTACAGACTGGAAAATAAAGTGGTGATCCCTAAAGACAATTCTTTTGAATTTGATGTCGATTAAAAATGGTTTCTTAGGTCACGAACAGACCTATTTAAAACCCATATCAACCGCCCCCATCAAGTCGTGCCTTCAAATTTGTTCATTGGTTGAAACTTCCTTCAACTGTCCAGAAACTGCTTTTTGCCCTACCTGCATACCCGCTGCTCCATCTCCTCTTACTTGTTTGACCTCCTGACTTGCCTGACTTCGCTTCGCCTGACCTTATCACATCCGACCTTAGTACCTGACCTAATCACATCCGACCTCAGTTACCGACCTTATCATACCCGATCTATGAGCCTAACCTGATCACGTCCGACCTCAGTACCCGACCTTATCACGTCCGACCTTTCGTGCCGGACCTTATCATGTATGATCTCCTTGCCCGACCGTATCACGCCCGACCTTATCACGTCCGACCTCAGTGCCCGACCTTATCACGCCCGACCTCCGAGCCCGACCTGCTCACGTCCGACCTTAGTGCCCAACCTGCTCACGTCCGACCTCAGTGCCCGACCTTATCATGCCCGACCTCCGAGCCTGACCTGCTCACGTCCGACCTTAGTGCCCAACCTGCTCACGTCCGACCTCAGTGCCCGACCTTATCACGCCCGACCTCCGAGCCTGACCTGCTCACGTCCGACCTCAGTGCCTGACCTTATCACGTCCGACCTTTGTGCCCGACCTTACCACGTCCGATCTTAATGTCCGACCTTATCACATTTGATCTCTGCACCCGACCTTATCACACCTGGGCTCCGCACCCGACCTTATCATACCTGGGCTCCGCACCCGACCTTATCATACCTGAGCTCCACACCCGACCTTATCATACCTGAGCTCCGTGTCCGACCTTATTACACCTGGGCTCCGCACCCGATCTTTGCCTTCTCCCGAGGAAGCCTTTTCCTTTAACAGCGTCTGGACTTATATTCGGGCCCTCTTTTTTGAAATCCTACTACCATTAACAATCCTATTAAACTCTGCACCACTCCTTAACCTAATTTGATAGGCCTATTCTCGAAAACCCTACCCATCGTTTTTTTGTGCTCAACAACTTGCCTCCTCCCGCCCAACCCCTAAACATCACTCCTCGAACTGTGTGGGACGTGACGTTTTAGGGGTTTGCAGAACAGTGTGATCATTACACTGATTCGCGTCAAATCAAGGGGTTTATGTAAAACCCTTCCTTCACTCTTTCAAATTCACGTGTTCAGAACTCTAAAATCTTTCTCTGTTACTCCATCCAACTGTCTTCTCTAAAACCCTCGATCTCTTCGTCTTCTTCACTTGCCCAGAAAAATGGCTAATCAATACGTTCCTGCTTTACCTTTCGATGGTACTAACCCATCGGTGTCCTTTGTGGCTTCGAAGGTCCTTACCCCTACCGTTCGCCCTTACTGCACCACCAACGAAGACGCTGATCAAATGAGATTCGTCATCTCCCTGGTTTCTCCAATAATCATCAATGACGTTGCGTTTAAGCTGGGAACGTCTCCTGGACAACATCAGAACTCATCTCACTGATTCTAAAGACACCTACCGTAAATGGTACGCAAGGCTTCTTCCCCATTTTGAAGAACAATAGAAGAAACAAGGCATCGACAAAGCCATCCTCCTCTCGACTCAACCCCTTTATCTTCACGACAAAGCCCTATTAGCGATGGCGGCCTTTTGGCATTCTCAGATGGGTGTATTCCTCCACCCCTCCGGTCCTATCGGCCCGACCCTGATGGACGTGGCCATCATTGTTCATTTGCCGATTGTAGGCGATGATCCTGTTCTGGTTTCTTTTGAGGGTCAAGAGCCTTCACCCAACCATGTTGGTTGGGCCCTCGCCAAGCTCCCTGAGAAAGAAAGAGGCTGGACTAATTTTGTTAACAAATATCAGGGTAAAGAAGGCACCTCTGTTTCTGAACTGGAACACACAGCATTCCTTCTTTTCTGGCTCTGCAGGTACATTTTTTCCTTTTGAAATCTCTTTCATAATTTTGAAGTTGGATGTTTTGGTTGATTTGGTTGAATCTCTTCTTTCTTTTTCTTTACAGATACATCATTCTTTCCCATTCCAAACTCGTCCTTTCCACCCAAGTCAATCTGGCTATTCAATTGGCTAACGGCCAATTCTTTTCATTGGGAACCCTTTTTTTGGCTAACCTTTTTGAGGGATTAACCCGAGTGAGCACCCGTCTAACCGATACCAAGAAGGTGGACACAGCAGCTTCGGGACCATTCTGGTTCCTAGAATTGTGGCTCCGTCTTTACTTCCCCACTGCGTTCTTTGGCCGACTTCCTATCACCCCAAACCCTTACAGGTCCATAGGTTATGCCTTAGCCAGATTAACTCCTAATTCCTCTTATCTTTATCCATCCGACCCTGTCATCGCCTAAATCTTGACTGAGGATCGTAGCAATTCCCGTTTCTATGTCTACGAAACCCTTATACAATATTCGACCGATCTTTTTTGGCTTCACCCCGACACATCTTATTCCCAAACTCATCCCGATCCTCTTCCTCATCCGACCTATCCCTTCTCATGGGACTCCGCCATGAAACCCCGATCTCTATTTTCCAGTAAGAGGCCGGACAAGAACAACCACAAATTATTTTATACCTTTAATTATCAGCCCCAATTTTTGGCCCGACAGTTCGGTTGCTGTCAGGGCATACCGGGACCACTAGCCCGACCTCACCTTATTCCTCAAAGCCCAGAAGGGCTGGTGATCCCTGAGCTTATCCCGACCTACCTTTCCTAAGTCACCGACTATATCACTTCTAACTCGTACTTGCCTTTCTACTTAAAACCTTCGGCGACCGAAGCATTTCCTGCCTGGTGGTCGGCCACCTGGTCTTTGATTCCTCCCCCGACTGATCAATTGGTTGGGAAACTTGCCCCATCCTCAGTCTTGGCACTGGGTTCTTCTCGATTGGCCGCTGCCCCGAGAAGAAAAAGGCAGGCGCCTGCCGTGGGCGGATCCAGAGCAAAGAAGCAGAAGGCCACCCCGGTCATTGATAGACGGGTCATTGAGGAATACCTGGAATCTCTGCCAGTGGATACAAGCGGGATGCCAAAATACTTAAGGAAACAATTCGGTAATCCTTTTTCCTTTTATGTTTCGATTCGGTAATCTCTCCCATTAATTTTTATAAATCCTGTTTCAGAGGACCCTCCATTGCCGCCGACCACAGCCCCAAGTGCCTTTCAACCGACTGAGAATCAACCGACCATGGCTCAATCGACTGCGGCGCATTCCCCTATCAATCTGACTTCTTCCCAGTCCACCGCAGTCCCGACCGCACACCAAACAACTATGGCGCCAGCCGCAAACCAACCGACCGTGGTCCCGACCACAAACCAAACTACTATCAATCAGCCGTTAGCTGCACCAATGACCCCAACCGAACAACGACCTGCTCAACCGCTCGATCTTCCAGAACACCTTAAGATCGCTGGTCAACCGACCATCACAACCAACCCTCTGCAAGCTGAGGTAAGTATTTCCTAATGCTCCTAAGAAAAAGAGAATACTTACTTCCACCATTGACTTCAACTTTCTTACTGGAGGTACACCGACCGGAGAAATCGGCGGGGAGGCCAATTTCTCCTATAATTTCGCCTCCACTGCTACCTTACCACTACAAGCGACTGACATGGTTGCAGCGATGTTCGACCGACCCGTCGCCTTCCCCGACCAGGTTGCGGGACCATCACAGGTAACTGCCAGGATTCTTCCATATGATTCTTTTATAAACCTCTAACTCTTGTATAACATTTCAACCAGAAACCTTATGCAATTGTGGTGGTGCCCGAACCCGACCAGGTCGCAGAATTGCCCGACCCAGTCGTGGCACCACCCGACCAAGCTGCTGCCACGCTGCCCTTACAACCAGCCATTCCACCTGTCGATGAGGTTCCTCCTATTGCTCCTCAACCAGTCCAACCGATCCCACCGCCTCACGACATAGAGGAGATTTCCTCCTCGAAGTCAGGCGAGGCTTCGGTCAATTTTGCCCCAAGGGGTTCGGTTAGTGTTCCCTCTCATCCATTTTCTAACTTTACCCCTTCCTCCTTGCTTAACTTTCTTCGTTTAGGGAATGGAGCTGGCCGTCGCTCACCGTCTCCAACCGGGAGACGAGTCGGTTGCTGGCCCGACAATTTGCCATGGTGCTTCCACGGCGTTCCGATTCATGGCCTCTTCTGAAGCCACGGCAGCCTTAAATCAGGTAAACTTTTATCCTTACATTGTAATGAGTTCACCATGTCTCTCTGACTTAACATTTTCCTTTTACCTTAGGCTGCCCAAGAGATGAATATTTTGGCCCGAGTGAACCTTCCGACTCCCGTCAGATCTATCGTGGAATGCTGCGCCGACCTGTCTTTTGCCGACCTAAGTTTAGCCGACCTCGAGGCTCTAGTCCAGGTCGCAATAACCTTGTTGGTACAGCCCATACTGGAATCAGAAGCTTCCCCCGTCCTTGATCGGATGATGGCCAGGATTACTGAACTTCAAGCCGAACTGCCCTTGATCCGCCCCCATCATCCGAGGCCATGTCATCTCAACCGACTGCTGATCCAGCCAGTCTTGAGGCAAACTTGAAGAAGGTCGATCAAGACCTTAACCTTGCCAAGGCCAAGCTGAACGAACTCTGACAAGCGCGGCACACGTTAGTGGCTGAGATCTCCCAAAAAATGGAAGAACTTAGACGCCTCCAAGAACAGCTGAAGTCCCTGGATGATAGCATTTAAGAAGGGAATCGTCTAGTGGAGGCACATTGCCATACTCAGACGAGTCTCTGCGAGAAACTTCAAACAACTATACAAACGAGACTCGTCCGGAGACACCAGGAAGCCTATCAGCATCGGTGGGCCACAAAGTTGGAGCTAAAGTGGACCGATCTCCAAACTGCTCTAAAGGCCCTGTTTTCTATGTAACCCCGATGTAATTTGTATAGAATTCCAGACTTAACTTATATATTTCCTATTTTCATAACACAGATCCTATGTTCTTTGCGCTTTTACTAAGTCAGACATCAAAACAAATATCCATATTGTTTTCAGATTTAATAAACCACAAATTAAACACCACAACACCTATATAAACTCCTCGCATTTGCGTCCCTTCGTCCAACTGGCAAGGTTCTTTGCAATCATTCCTAGTAGGAAAACACCCCATAGCTCATCATGCTGAAGACCTGATACAGGTGCTAAAACAACTGGACTTTAAATTTAGGTTCTCCGGCAGAGGCGGGAGAACCATACATCGTACGATCCGATTGATAGAGCATATATCCACTGGCTACGAACCCCTTACTGACATACTCACCCGCATATCTGACCGTGATCATCATCTGGACATTATAGATCATCATGTATTAGCAATCCTTCCAGACCTCAGTTGGAACAACATTTTCGACCAGCAAAGAACAACGCTTTCTAGACTGCGTGTCCTTGTTGAAGGTCCGTACCGAACAAGATCTTTAAGAAATCCAGGATCAGTGGGATCGCTACCGCCTTGATTTGGACGACCTTTTGGATGAAGAACCTGAAATGGTTTCTGCGAATTGGGATGAAACCTCAGAACCAAAAAACAACTATCATTCTGATAATTAGAGAACCCTTTTCTAATATGTCCGAACCCTTTGAGGGGTTCCTAGATTTTATAATAAGAACTAATGACAATGTTCTGAAAAGGCAGGGTAATACCTTTTCAGATACTTATCATTAGTATTCTCATGTACCAGATTTCCTTCTTGATTTATGATAATAAAAGCTCCATTCCCAATCACTTTATGAATGATGAAAGGACCTTCCCAATTGGGAGACCACTTCCCTAGTTGATCCACCTTCTTATACGTAGGCAGAATTGTTTTCCAGACCAAATCCCCTTCTGCAAAAACCTTTGGGGACACTTTTTTCCCAGAGTATTTCGCCCTAATCTCACTGTCTAATCACTTGATCCAAAGCGTTTAATCGATTTGTATCCACTTCTTCCAATTGTTGCCACATCCTTTGTGCATATGCCTCGTCAATACACGCTGTTGTATTAGTCACTCTGGGTGAAGGCACAACAAATTCCGCAGGCAAAACAGCATCTTGCCCGAACGTTAATTGGTATGGGGAAAATCCAGTAGAAGTATTTTTACTATTTCGGTGGGCCCACAATGCATGAGACAATAATATGTGCCATTTTCTTGGATTTTCTTCTACCATTTTTCGGATGATGTTAATAACGATTTTATTTGCCGCTTCGGCCAACCCATTCGCCTGTGGGTAATATGGTGAAGAGTGATGCAATTTGATGTTAAATTCGGCCAAAAACTCAACAAATTTCTCCCCAGTAAACATCAATCCTTAATCGGTTGTAAGAGTATGGGGAATCCCAAACTGATAGACAATACGATTAAGCACGAACTCAATCACCTCTTTCTGCGTCACATTCTTCAAAGGAACTGCCTCTACCCATTTGGTGAAGTAATTAGTCGCTACCAGAATAAATGAATGTTGCTTCGATGACGTCGGATAAATTTTCCCTATTACATCCAGCGCCCAGGCTTTGAATGGCCACAGCTTAACTATCGTCTGCAGTTCTACTGTTGGCAGATGATTTAATGGACCATGCCTCTGGCATTCCTGGCACCCCTTAGTAAATCTGATACAATCATCAAAGATCCTTGCCCACTAAAATCTCATACGATGAATAGCCCATCGCATATTCAATCCTACTCGGTGCGCCCCACAAATTCCGCCATGGACCTCTTCCATTACTTTAATGGATTCTTCAAGTCCCATACACCTCAATAAAACTCCTTCAAAGGTTCTTTTATACAGAACCCCTTCAATAAGTTGGAAACGTAAATCTTTCAAACGAATGCCCACATGAGTCACAAAACTTGGTGATTCCAAATACACCATAATTTCTATTCTCCAATCAATCCCGAAATCAATGCTACCGATCATTTGCTGGCAGGCATTCTGAGCCAGATTATCCGCCAACCGATTTTCTGTTCTTGGTACATGCTCGAAAACTAGCTCCGCAATTCTATATAACAGATGAAATACCAAATCTCGGTATCGACGCAGATGAGGATAATTACAAGCGTACTGTTTTAACACTTGGTTGATGACAAGTTGAGAATCTCCACACATTAGGACCATTTGTAGTCCTTTAGCAATAAGTGCTTCCAAACCCAAAATCAGTGCTTCGTATTCCACAGACTTATGAGTCATCTCTTCCATTTGAAGCTGCAAACTAATTCTATTGGCTCCTGGTCCTTCTAGTATCACCCCAGCTCCTGACTTTCCTTTTGAACGAGAACCATCAAAAAACTTTTTTCAAGGACTGGTGCCTATATACGGCACTACTTTGTTTTCCAATGATTCATCGCCTGCAAATTCAGCCAACAAGTCGGCTACAACCTGCCCTTTCACTGCTTTGATAGGTCGATGTTGCACCGCAAAAAGAGCCAATTTGATGGCCCATTTCATTAATCTTCCCTGCATGGTTGGTCTGTGCAGAATTAATCTGATCAGATCCATTTTAGAAACCACCTCGGTTTCTCTTGGCATAATATAATGCTCCAACTGAGTACACGCAAAAACTAAAGAATAGCACATTTTCTCGGGTATAGTATAATTCAACTCTGGTCCTACCAAGGTTTTGCTTAAATAATAAATAGCCCTTTCCTTACTATCCTCCCATTCTTGGACCAACAGACTACTCACAACATCAAAGTTGTTCGCGACGTATAGCCGAAGGGGTCGATCTCCCCTTGGGGGAACCAACACAGGTGGTCTGGTTAATGCTTGTTTGATTTCTTCTAGTGCCTTCTGCTGATCCGGACCCCAGGAAAAACTGGCTGCCTTATTCTGAAGCAACTTTGTGATAGGTCTCAACTTCCCTACAGCATTTGATATAAAACGCCTTAGGTAATTTACCTTCCCTAACAAACTCTGCACCTCCTTGACCGACCGAGGTGGCCGCGTTGTCAAAACAGCCTTAGCTTTGTTTGCATCGACTTCTATCCCCTTTTCATACATTAGAAACCCCAAGAAATTCCCTGCCGAAACTCCAAAGGCACATTTTGTTGGGTTCATTTTCAAGTTGTACTACTTCATCCGTATAAAAGCATTTTTTAAATCAACCAGATGTGTGTCAAAGTCAGTAGACTTAATGATCACATAATCAATATATACCTCCATTGACTGCCCGATCAGATCATGAAAGATGGTATTCATTGCCCGTTAGTAGGTTGCTCCAGCATTCTTTAAACCGGATGGCAAACCGTCCATTCATAAATTCCCAAAGCCCCTAGACATCGGAATGTGGTTTTGGGTATATCTTCTTCTGCTAATGAAATTTGATTATACCCTGCATATCCATCCATCAAACTTAAAATTTGATGCCCTGCTGCCTAGTAGATCAACATGTCAGCTATGGGCATTACATACTCATCTTTTCGAGTGGCTAGATTGAGATCTCTGAAATCAATGCAGATTCGAATCTTTCTATTTTTCTTGGTAACCTAACAATATTGGCTAACCATTCCGCATACCGACATGGTCGGATGAATCCCACCATCAACAGTTTCTTAATTTCTTCTTTGATTTAGGGCATCAATTATGGACTCACTGTCCTTGGTGGTTGCTTATACGGCTTAAACTCTTTATTAATAGGCAACCTATGTTCTATCAAATCGCGCGTCAATCCGGGCATCTCAGAGTAATCCCATGCCAGACATTCCATATGGTCCCGAATTAACGCTACCATTTGCTCCTGTTGGTTTTTTGACAACAAACCACTTACCCTGACCATCTTGGGTACCTGTTTGGTTTCTACATTATACTCAATGAGAGGATCCTGAGTCGACAAGGAAGGTTCTGTCTTTTCCAAGAGATCAGGCCAGCGAAAACCTTCTCCCTCGCTAACATTGTTGTTGGAACCTTCCCTATTATGTAACCTAACCAATAATTGGTTTAAATAAAATTGTCTAATCAACTTATCATATTTACTTATTTCTTCCATAATTAAACTTTAAATAAGTAAATAAAAAGTTTTTTGGCTAACGACAGAGCCATAAAACAAAAGATTGTTTCTACTGAAACACATAACCCTGCGCAGTGAGCCTACAGCCCTTCCAGGGATATTCATCTACCACAGTTGTCTGTAAAATCGGCGGTACATACTCTGAATAAAGCACCGACTCTTCCACACCTTCTGTGGAACCGAACGGATTGGTGCTGGCTTCCATGGTAATACCTGATCTCCTTCCCCAAACATGATCTGTTGATGGAGAGAAGAAGGCATGCATTTGGAAGCGTGAATCCAGTCCCGCCCCAACAAGACCGAATAAGTAGTGTTGGCATCTACCACAAAGAATACTATTGAAATCACCTTTGGTCCGACTTCAATGGGTGCCACCATCATCCCTTCTGGTTTGGTTGGTTGTCCCATGAAGCTCGTCATCTCGATATCTACTGGAGACAGGTCGCCAATCCCTTTGCCCAATTTTCTCAGAGTTTTGATAGGCATGACGTTGAAGACAGCCCCATTATCAATGAAAACCTTGTTAATCGGCTTACTACAAATGTGAGCGTTAACATATAATGGTTTCAAGTGTGGGATTGCTCCTTCTGGTATAGGAGGAAAAACCATAAGTGGGGGACTGCCAGTCATTGCCGCCCACTCTGGTTCTTTTTCTTCCTCGAATTTTGCCCAGATGGTTTCGCTTCTTTCTCAAACCATCACATATCCGTCATCCTGACTTCGAACCCGGCTTTATCAATCTTCATTATCTTGCTGCGCAAAAATTTTGTTTCTTCTGGAGCAAATGACCCGAAGATTATCTCAAGAGTCTCTTCCTCGGCATCTCCTATTTCAGGATCAATGTTGATCCGTCTGCAGAACTGACACCGAAAGCACTTGGCCTTCTTGATAGGTTTTTCGATCTGTCAGTG